CAAAACATACCTCAATAGAATCAGGAAGATAGAAGTAGTATCAGCAATCTGTTCAGACCACGATGTGCTGAAGACAGAAGTAAATCACACAAAGACACCGAGAAACAAATCAAACTCCTGGAAATTAAACAACTCAGTGTTGAACAATGAGTGGGTCAGGAAGGAAGTCAAGGACAAAAATCCAAAGATACCTGGAAACAAATGAGAATGAAGACATGAGCTACCAGAACCCTTGGGATGCAGCTAAAGTCGTGCAAAGAGGAAAATTTATGGCGTTGCAAGCATTCCTAAGGAAGGAAGAAAGGGCCTACATAGATAACCTGACCTCACAGCTCAAGATCTTAGAAAAAGACCAACAAAAGGAACCCAAATTTGGCTGAAGGAAAGAAATAACAAAACTTAGAGCAGAAATAAACGACATGGAAGCCCAAAAAACAATCTGAAAAGTCAATGAAATCAAGAGCTGGTTCTTTGAGAAAATAAACAAGATATATAAACCACTAGCAAGACTCACAAAAAGAGAGAGAGAGAACCCTAATAAGTCAAATCAGAAATGAAAAAGGGGACATCACAAGAGAAAACAATGAAATTTAAAAGATCGTCATGGCCTTCCTATACGCAAATAATGAGACAGAGGAAAGTGATGTGAACAAAACAATCCTGTTCACAATCATGCCCCAGAAAATTAAATACCTCAGAATCAGCCTAACTAAAGAGGTAAAAAACCTCTACAATGAAAACTACGAAACGCTACTCCATGAAATAAAAGAGGACATGAGGAAATCCATGTCCTATGCTCATGGATAAAAGAATTAACATTGTCAAAATGACAATACTCCCCAAAGCATTATACAGATTCAATGTGATCCCTTTAAGGATAACCATGAAATTCTTCAAAGAAATAGATCAAGCACTCCTAAAATTCATATGGAACAACAAACACCCACGAATAGCTAAAGCAATTCTTGGGAAAAAGAACGTGGGGAGGCATTACCCTCCCCAACATCAAACTCTACTACAAAGCGATAAAAATGAAAAAAGCATGGTATTGGAACAAAGGCAGAGCTGGAGACCAGTGGAACCAGGGTTGAGTACACTGACACCTCCCCTCAAACATATGATCATCTAATCTTTGATAAGGGAGCAAGAAATGTGAAGTGGAGCAAGGAAGGCCTCTTCAACAAATGGTGCTGGCATAACTGGACAACCACATGCAAAAAAAAAAAATTACTCAGGAGTAATTCCTGAGTGCACAAGCCAAGAGTAACCCCAGGGTACTGTCAGGTGTGACCCACAAAGCACTGTAGCACCGTAGCACTGTCCTCCCACTGTTCACCAATTTGCTCAAGCGGGCACCAGTAGTGTCTCCATTGTGAGACTTGTTGCTACTGTTTTTGGCATATTGAATACACCATATTGAGCATAGCTTGCAAGGCTCTGCCATGCGAGTGGGACACTCTTAGTAACTTAATGGGCTCTCTGAGAGGGATGGAGGAATTGAACCCTGGTCGACTGCGTGCAAGACAAACATCCTACCTGCTGTGCTATCGCTCCAGCCCACCCAAAAAGAAAAAAAAAATTACATGATACTGACTTTACTGATATCTTTATCAGTAAATTGAGTTTAAATTTAATTAGATATTTTTATCAGTAGATTTAAATAGCAATTAAGTTCAATTTAAGTAGCGAAGATATAAAATGTAACTAGATCAAATGGTAAAGTTTCTTCACAGCAAAGAAAACCATATTACAACAAAAATAGACCTGACCGTCTCTACTATCTTCTCAACCTGCCTCCTCCACATCTCCTAATCCTCTGCTTGCTCTTCCAAGCTCTCAGGTGAGGTTATTGTTGCAGCCAGCATCCTGGGCCTTTTTCAATATGTATCAGATTCCCCACCTTTCCAGTTGAATCCCAGCAGCCACTGCACCTGACCCCTCCCCACCCCTTTCCATCTTCTCAACCAGCCCCCTCCACATCACCTAAATTGCACAGTGTTATATGCAGCCCAGCAACAGCTACAGAAGGTTAATTACAAAGACTTCACCCTCCGTGCAGTAAAAGTACAGCAAACACAAATGGGAAGCTCCGTGAGTGAAAATAACAACATAGGAAAGCTCTACCAGTACCAACCAGTTTCTTGCACTCACAGAGAATGATTTTAGTGGCATTAAACATCCATGCTCAGATGTTTAATGGACTCAAAGAAATGATGGCACAGAAAATAGGGGAGTGAAACACAAAGTTGGCAAAACATAAGAAAATATGAGTTGAAATAAGAACACTACAATCAGAAGAATATATATTTAAAAAATACTGTAGAGAGTTTGCTACATTTCTTTGAAGAATGTCATGGGTATTGTTATAGGGATCGCATTGAATGTGTACAATGCTTTGGGGAGTATTGTCATTTTTGACAATGTGAATTCTGATTTATGAGCAGGGGATATCTTTCCATTTTCTCGTGTTGTCTTTTATTTCCTGAAGTAGCATTTTGTAGTTCTCTTTGTACAGGTTTTTTTCTGTCCTTAGTTAAGCTGATTCCTAGGTACTTGATTTTCTGGGGCACAATTGTGAATGGGATTGTTTTTTTCATGTCACTTTCTTCTCTCTCATTATTTGCATATAGGAAAACCGTGGACTTTTGGGAGCAAGAAATGTGAAGTGGAGCAAAGAAAGCCTCTTTAACAAATTGTGCTGGCAAAACTGGATGGCTACATGCAAAAAACTGGTCTCAGATTTCTGCCTAACACCATATACAAAAGTAAGATCAAATGGATTAAAGACCTCAACATCAGGCCAAAATCCATAAAGTACATTAAAGACAAGGTTGGCAAAACCCTCCACATCATTGAAGCTAACAGTATCTTCAAAGACGATACTCCACTGACCAACCAAGTGGAAACTGAGACAAACAAATGGGACTATCTTAAATTAAGAAGCTTCTTCACCTCAAAAGATACAGTAACCAGAATACAAAGAAAATCTACAGAATGGGAAAGGATATTTACCCAATACCCATCTGATAAGGGGTTGATATCAAGGATATACAAAGTACTGGTTGAACTCCACAACAAGAAAACATCCAACCCCGTCAAAAAATGGGGTGATGAAATCAACAGAAACTTTCTCAAAGAAGAAATATGAATGGCTAAAAGGCATATGAGAAAATGCTCTACATCATTAATCATCAGGGAGATTCAGATCAAAACAACAATGAGATATCATCTCACACCACAGAGACTGACCCACATCCAAAAGAAGAAAAGCAACCGGTGTTGGCGTGGATGTGGTGAATAAGGGACTCTCATTCACTGCTGATGGGAATGCCGACTGGTTCAGCCCTTTTGGAAAACAGTATGGATGATTCTCAGAAAATTAGAAATTGAGCTTCCATTTGACCCAGCAATACCACTCCTGGGAATATATCCCAGAGAGGCAAAAAAGTACAGTCAAAATGACATCTGCACTTCTATGTTCATTGCTGCACTCTTCACAATAGGCAAAATCTGGAAAAAACCCGAGTGCCCGAGAACAGATGACTGGCTAAAAAAACTTTGGTACATCTACACAATGGAGTACTATGCAGCTGTTGGAAAAGATGAAGTCATGAAATTTACATACGAGTGGTACTACATGGAAGGTATCATGCTAAGTGAAATGAATCAGAAAGAGAGGGACAGACATTGAAAGAGTGCATTCATCTGGAGAATATAAAGTAACATAATAGGAGACTAAGAATAGTCGAGATAAGTACCAGAATGTTCACTCCATGGCTTGAAGGACAGACATACATGCTAGTGGAAAGGGCAGCTCAGATAGAGAAGGGAGCACCAAGTAAGGGGTGTTGGGAGGATCCTCCCAGGATGGGAGATGCATGCTGAAAGTAGACTATAGATTGAACATGATTTCCACTCATTACCTCTTTTGCAAACCACCACACCCAAAAGGAGAGAGAGAACAAAAGGGAATGTCCTGCCACAGAGGCGGGTTGGGATGGGGGGATGAGGGGTGAGAGGGATACTGGGAGCAATAGTAGTGGAGAATGGGCACTGGTGGAGGGATGGGGAAAAAAAGAGTGAGGCAGTTTACTTTGGAAACGTAATGAACACTTTCCCATCTTTCATACTTCATGCTAAAAGTCATGCATAATCTGTATTATGGAGTTTGGTGTATTTGAGAAAAGTCGTACTTTGGAAATTTTGCATGTAATTTGAGTCATGGAATCATCTTATATTCTTTACTACTTGTTGTCTTGAATTTGCTGAAATAATTATTGTTTTTTCTTTCTGACTGAGGGTGGAAGTTGAGGGAAGCTCTCAAGCAGTGCTCAGGGGTTCTGGGGTCAGACCCAGTGATTGTTGGTCCACCAATGGGCCTGAAGGTCCAGTGTTCAGGCTAGGTGATTCTGGAGGTCACAGGGTTCCACCACATGGTTCTGGGTAGGGGGAATGCGCAGTGTTGGGATAGACTTGGGGTCTCCCCATGCAAGTCATGCTCTCGAACCCTTCTATCTTCCTGGTGCCCTGGAGGGGATCTAAGTAGAAAAATGATAGAGAGAGATAGTTTGGAAAGGATGTTTTCCAAGGCTGGAGCAATAGTACAGTGGGGTAGGGACCCCCAGCTCCCCACCAAAAGTGATCCCTGACCAGAAAGCCAGGGATAATCTCTGAATACAAATAAATAAATAAATAAATAAAGGGACATTTCTTTACTTTTTATTTAGACAATTAATTATTTTTTTTTTTTGCAATGCTGGGGATCAAAACCAGTTTCTTACACCTATATCTCCAGCACTCTGTGTTTCTGAGATGAGCTGGAAATGGTGGAAGTGATGATTGGCAGTTGGAAAGTCTAAATCAGTTCACGACAACTCTCATCCAGCCTGCAAAGGTCTGAGATTTGTGCAGAGTTGATTGAAGGTCCTATTATCCTGTGGCGAGCAGGTTAGACTTGGAGGCTGAATGTCAATCAAGGTCTTAATCTCTGAGCCCTGGACTCAGAGATTGCACAGAGGATAACTGCAGCAGTGAGTAATTTGAGTTTTAAAAGGTGTCTCTCTTGTCTTGAAGCACTCATCACCACTTTCCGTGCAGCCTTTAATGGAATACCAATAAATTCCATCTGATGGAAACAGAAGAAGGAGAGGTGGGAAGACTCTTGAGGGCCGACCCTCCTGCCTCCGATGCAAAATAAACAAAATCCCAGGCTTATCAAGATACAAATCACCTTTTTCTAAAAATGTTCATCTCAAGGTATTCCGGTTGTGTGCCTGGCAAGACAAAAGCTTTGAAATTGTACAGCAAAACAACTTGCAAAATCAAATGCTAAGGCTCAGTAACCACCAGGGACTGCAGAAATTTCTGAAGTGGAAGGGATTTAGAAGCTTCCTGTTATCCACACAGTATCCCCAACTTTCCCTGGTCATGGTTATTTAGAGGTTTAGATGCATTAAGTGTCAGTTATTCACCGGTTAATCCTTTAGATGGGCTGGAGCGATAGCACAGCGGGTAGGGCGTTCGCCTTACAAGCGGCCAACATGGCCGACCCGAGTTCGATTCCTCCGCCCCTCTCGGAGAGCCCGGCAAGCTACCGAGAGTATTCGATATGCCAGACACAGTAACAACAAAAGTCTCCAATGGAGACGTTACTGGGCCCGCTCGAGCAAATCGATGATCAACGGGAGGGCCTTTACCTTTACCTTTACCTAATCCTTTAGATGTGTTAATTGTTAAATTCATGGTTAATCCTTCAGATATGTTAAGTGCTTCTCAGAAATAGAGGTACCTCCTTTTAGTTTGCTTGTTTTTCAGCCACAAGCTATGCTCAGGGGTTATTTGTGAATCTGTACTCAGGAATTATTATATTTGGCAGTCCAGGTCCATAGGGGACCATATGGGATGCCAGGAATCAAACCCAGGTCAACTTCTGGGACACCCCCATGCAAGGCAAATGCCCTACCTGCTGTAATATCTCTCCAGCCCCTGGGGGTATTTCACTTCATTTTTCCCAGTTACAGAAGTAGTACATATTCTCTATAGATAATGAGAAAACTACCTCAAAGTGCAAAATAGGTTACAGTAATATTTTATAATCCATCGATTCCTATGTAGTGTGGGTCCAACATAAAGAAGTCAAAAAATTATTTTTAAAAATTTTATTAAAGTCCCATGATTCGCAGTGTTGGAGTTTAGAAATTCAATGTTCCAGCACAATCCCAACACCAGTGTCTTTTTTCCCTCCACTAGAGTTCCCAGGTTCCCATCCTGGACCCCACACTCTGCCTCTCACCCCCATCCCCACCTTGCCACCTTGACAGGCACCTTTTTAAGTTAGGCTGTTTGGATCGCTTGTTTTCTGTGTTGTTGACTTTGTGGTTTGGATGTTTAGCTCTACCACTCCTTAATCCCACTAATGGACTTGGAACTCTTGATTCCTGCTCCACGTTGTTCCCACTTATCTTTTCTTCTCCCCTGATTTTACTCCTGGTGGTGTTTAGGACTTACTCCTGGCTCTGTACTCTGGGATCACTCCTGACAAGCCTAGGGGACCATATAGGATGCCAGAAATCAAATCTGGTTTGCTGTGTGCAAAGCAAGTCCCTTTACATGATGCACTATCTCTCCCTCCCCCACGTCCCCTTTATTTTATTTTATTTTACTTTATTTCATTTTTGGGTCACACCTGGCGATGCACAGGGGTTACTCCTGGCTCATGCACTCAGAAATTACTCCTGGTGGTGCTCGGGGGACCATATGGGATGCTGGGAATTGAACCCGGATCTGCTGCGTGCAAGAAAAATGCCCTTCCCGCAGTGCTATCTCTCCAGCTCCTCCCTTTGATTGTCAAGAAGCAAAATTCATCGTGCTTGGAGACTTGAGAAGATAATAATCTTTCAACTGAGGTCAGTTTTGCTGCCTACTCCTTGGTCATTGCACAATGAAGGAGACATTTTTGTTGTTACAACTTGGAAGGTCTTACTGCCAGTTGGGTAGAGGGCAGGGATGTTCCAAACATCCTGTAGTACACAAGAGATCTCGCATAACAAAAAGTTGTCCTGGTGAAAGCTAGTGGTGTCAAGGACTAGAAACTGTTAATAAGGCTATCATTATAGAATTCCAATTCTATTTGTTTTTGCAGCAGAGGGATGTCATTTCCCCCACCCCACTTTTATTTTATTAAAGCACCATGAGTTACGAAATTATTCATGTTTGGTTTTGACATAAAATGCTCCATCACTAATCCCATCACTTGTGTCAACTTTCTTCCACCAATGTTCTCTGGTCCCTTCTCCTACCACCCACTCCCCACTCAAGCCTGCCTTCCTGACAGGCATCTTTTAAGTTTGGTTATTGAAGTTTGGGTCCCATGATGTCAGTGGTGTTGACTGTGTGGTTTGAATATTTAGCTCTTTCATTCCTTAACATTACCAGTATATCTGAATCCCCTTCATGACTGTCCCTCTTACTTCTCACCTGTCTCTTTTCTTCTTCACCTTAATTTATTTCCTTCTTTTTCCTATACTCAGGGGAGGGTGATCTAGGCACCTCCATTTACACCATTGCATTTCCTCATCCAGGAAAATACCATGTATAAGTGATACCATCCTTTGCTCGTCCTTCTAGCTTACTTTATTTAACATATCTTCCAGTTTCATTCATGTTGCAGCAAATTGCATGATTTCATCATCCCTTACAACTGCATAGTATTCCCCATCTTCATGATTCACTGGTTGGTTGTTGGGTATCTAGGCTGATTCCAAATCTTAGTGATTGTACTGAATGCTGCAGTGAATAACAGGGTACATATGTCTGGTTGAATGGATGATTTTCTGACCTTGGGGTAGATACCCATAAGTGGAATTGCTGGGTCATAGGATAGCTCAATTGTAAGTTTACTGAAAATACTCCATACTATTTTTCATATGGCTTGAACCAGACAACATTTCCACCAGCAGTGGATGAGAGTTCCTTTTTTTTTTATCACATCCTGACCAACACAGATTATTCACATTATTATTATTATTATTATTTTACATTTTTAAGTCACTATGGGATACAGAGTTATAAAGCTGATCGTGGTTGGGTTTCAGTCATACAGTATTCTAACACCCATCCATCCCTCCACCAGTGTACATTTCCCACCTCCAGTCCAATATCCCCAGTTTTCTTCTTACCACCCTCCCTTCAACCTGTCTCTATGGCAGGGACTTTCCTTCTTTCTCTCTCTGTCTCTGTCTCTTTCTGCATCTGACTCTCTCTCTCTCTCTCTCTCTCTCTCTCTCTCTCTCTCTCCCTTTTGGGGCATTTATGGTTTGCAATACAGTTATGGTTTTCAACATACAGTTCTTATCCAAAATGATCATTTCCAACTCTCTTTGTCATGGTGATCTCTAGCCCAATCTCCTTCTCCACCAGCATTTGAAGTAGGCTTCCAACAACTGTGTTCCAATCTTCCTGGCCCTTATTTCTACTGTCTTTGGTTATTGGTTTCATATTATATATATTTTTTAATTCTTACAAATACGCCGGATCATTCTATGTATATCCATCTCCTTCTGACTCATTTCACTCAGCATGATAGTCTTCATTTGCATCCATTTATAAACAAATTTCATAACTTCATTTTTCCTAACAGCTGAATAGTATTCCACTGTATAGATGTACCAAAGTTTCTTGAACCAGTCATCTGTTCTTCGGCACTCAGGTTGTTTCCAGATTCTGGCTATTGTGAACAGTGGTGCGTCAACATAGAACTGCAGATAGTATTTCTGTTGTGTGTTTTTGGGATCCCCAAAGAGGTATTGCTGGGGAATATGGAAGCTATACCCCAGAAGTGTTATTCCTGGGGCATATGTAAGCTCAATTTCTAGTGTTTTGAGGAAAGCCCATATTGTTTTCCAAAAAGGCTAGACCAGTTGGTATTCCCATTAACAATGAAGAAGAGACCCTTTCTTCCAACATCCATGCCAGCTTTGGTTGCTCTTGTTCTTTTTGATGTGTGCCAGTCTCTGTGGTGTTAGATGATATCTCATTGTAGTTTTTATTTGCATCTTCACAATAATTAGCAACTAGAGCATTTTTTTCATATGTCTTTTGGTCATTTGTATTTTTTCTTTGAGAAAGTTTCTGTTTATTTCTCTTCCCCATTTTTTGGGTATGGGATTAGATTTTTTTTTCTTGTAAAGTTCTACCAATGCCTTATATATCTTGGATATTAACCCCTTATCAGATGGGTATTGGGTATCTCCTTCTGACTCATTTCACTCAACATGATACTCTGCATCAATATATAGGCAAATTTCATGACCTCATTTTTCCTGACAGCCATGTAGTATTCCATTGCATAGATGTACCATAACTTCTTTATCCATTCATCTGTTCTTGGGCACTCAAGTTGTTTTCAGATTCTTGTTGTGGTGAATAGTGCTGCAAAGAACACAGGAGTGCAGGTGATGTTCCTGCTCTGTTTTTGGACCCCCGGACTGTATTCCCAGAAATGATATTTCTGGGTGAAATGGGAGCTCAATGTCTAGTTTTTTGAGGAATATCTATATTGTTTTCCAAAAAGACTGGACCAGTCGGCATTCCCACCAGCAATGAATTAGAGCCCCTTTCTCCCTCATTCTGTGCCAGTGCTGATTGTTCTTGTTCATTTGGGTGTGTGTCAGTCTCTTTGGTGTGAGATGATATTGTTGTTTTGATTAGCATCTTCCTGATGATTAGCGATGTAGAGCATTTTTTCATTTGCTTTTTGGCCATTCAGATTTCTTCTTTGAGGACGTTTCTGTTCATTTCTTCTCCCCATTTTTTTGATGGGGTTGGATATGCTTTTCTTGTGAAGTTCTACATGTGCCTTGTATATCTTTGGTATAACCCCTTATCAGATGGGTATTGGGTGAATAGTTTTTCCAATTCTATGGGCTGTCTTTGAATCTTGGTCACTGTTATTTTTGAGGTGCAGAAAAGTCTTAGTTTAATGTAGTCCCATTTGTTAATCTTTGCTTCCATTTGTTTGATAAGTGGTGTTTCATCTTTGAAGATGCCTTTATCTTCAATATTGTGGAGAGTTTTGCCTACATTTTCTTCTATGTACTTTATGGATTCAGGTCTGATGTTGAAGTCTTTGATTTGACTTGTGTATAGATAGAGGTCAGAATTCATTTTTTAACATGTAGGGGTCCAGTTTTCCCAACACCACTTGTTAAAGAGGTTTTCTTTGTTCCACTTCATATTTCTTGTTCCCTTGCCAAAGATTCACGATCACAATCACGACCATCCTGTTATTCGTCAGTTGCCTCGAGCAGACCCCAGTAACGTCTCCTTCGTCCTAACCCTGAGATTTTTTTAAAAGGTGCCACATTCAAGGCTCTTTCAGGGTTAGGAGAATGAGACCCATGATTGTTACTGGTATATGGTATATTGGGTACGCCACGGGGAGTTTGCCAGACTCTGCCATGTGGGCAGGCTACATTCGGCAGCCTGCCAGTTTGTCCAAAGTAGGAATGAGATAATAAGATGTCGCGCAGCCACAAATGTGGCCTCGCGCTTCCAGGAGCTGTGTTTTATAGTCTCTGAATCTTGGCCGTTGATGGGATTACACGGTTCCAGGGGGCCAGTTGGTGGGTGTGACCCCTGCCTACTGGAATTTGGAGGATCTGCGTGGAGGATGCTCAGACCCGATCCAAGCAAGCTTGGAGATCTCAGCCCCGGGACCCGCATGCCTTTGTTCCTCTGCCGGTACCTTCATGCGTGTGGAGAGTGGCCTCAGCATAGTGGTGGCTGGTTCTGGAGATCTTCGGCTGCTGGAGCCCTGGTCGGGGTGGGGAGGGAAACTCAACCCGCTCCCCTCCAAGAGGCCCTGGCGAGGACAGCCAGGCATGGGGGCAGGAGACTCTGCCAAAGATTAGGTAATCATATATTTGGGGGTCTGTCCCAGGAATGTTCATCTCTATTCCACTGGTTTGTGGGTCTGTCTTTATTCCAATACCAAGCTGTTTTGATTACTAACACATTGTAGTATACAGTTTGAAGTTGGGGAAGGTGATGCCGCCCATTGTCTTTTTACCTGAGATAGTTTTAGCTGTTCTTGGAGGTTTGTTGTTCCTTTAAATTTCAAGAGGGTTTGCTCAATTTCTTTGAAAAATGTCATGGATATCCTTAGAGGGACCACCTCGAATCTGTATAAATGCTTTGAGGAGTATTCCCATTTTGACAATGTTAATTCCCCTAATCCCTGAGCAGGGAATTTGTCTCCATTTCCTCATGTCCTCTTTTATTTGGTGAAGCAGTGTTTTGTAGTTTTCTTTGTACAGGTCCTTTAAGTAGGTGGTTTGTATAGATTAATTTGTAATGTGTAGTTGGAGTCAAAGAGCTCACCTTTGAATACTAGTCACAACATCCTTAACTGTAACTGTAACATCATGAAAATTTCTTAATCTTTTTATAATGCAGGTGCCTCACCTTAAAAATGGGTATAGTGAAAATTCCACTCCTATTATTGTTAGCTTAATTTTATCTGTTCAAATCATTAATTATTTTAATTCTAAAATTTTAATTATTTTAAAAAGACACATCATCTCTATTCTGTGTTGTTTGTTTTTGTTTCACACCCAGCAATGTTCAGAGCTTAGTCCTGATGTGGCTCTGAGAACCACATTTGCTGTCAGGGATTTGAACCCAGGGCAGCCACATGCAAGCAGACCCTTTATTATCTCTCTGGCTGGCTATATATATATATATATATATATATATATATATCACCTTGTCTACTCAATGGACATTTTTTGTGTGTAGTGATTTGCTCTGTGTTCATTGCATATTTTTTTAGAGTCAAGACTTACCTTTATAATATCTCTCTTCTATACAAAACTGCTCAGGTCCCGCATTGCAGGTACCAAAGTCTAAAAGACAGCCATGGAAGGCAAGTGAGAGGTTGCAAAATCTACAGAGCAAACTTCCAACATCTGCAAGTACAGAAAAGAAAAAAAAATAATAGAAAAATTGATTTGGGCACCAGTAAGGAAAAATGAAGATGAAGAGAGGAAAAAGAATTCCCAAAATAAAGCTGTGTATTCAACTATTAAAAGTAAGCAGTCCAGGGGCTGGAGCGATAGCACAGTGGGTAAGGCATTTGCCTTGCATGCGGCTGGCCCGGGTTTGAATGCCAGCATCCCATATGGTCCCCTGGGCACTTCCGGGAGTAATTCCTGAGTGCAGAGCTAGGAATAACCCCTGAGCATTGCCGAGTGTGACCCAAAAAGTAAGCAGTCCAGGGGCTGGAGAGAGAGCTCAGGCAACAACCCAACTTTGGGAGATGGGGCGATAGTACAGTAGAGAAGGCACTTGCCTTGCATGCAGCTAACCCAGGTTCAGTCCCTGGCACCCCATATGATCCCCTGAGCACCAATCAGGAGTAATTCCTGAATTCAAAGCCAGGAGTAACCCCTAAGCATCACTGTCTGGATGATCCAGAAGCAAACAAACAAAAGAACCCAACTTTTATTCCCAGCACCATGCAATCCCCAAGACATTGCCAGGATGGTCTTCATGGCCTGGGCACTGTAGGTCTGAGGCAACACTATGGTGACAGAGTCAAGCATTGAGTAATCCAGCGCAGTGGCTTAAATAACACTTAGAGTGGTCCCTGTACACACCTGATTACTTCTGAGAGTTCCTGCCCCCAACAGAAATGTCATTGATTTTAAAAATTAATGATAAAAAACCTCACATAAAATATCATTAATTTAAAAAATAACGATAAAAACTCACATAAATTAAATTCTTTTCTTTATTTCATTTTGTGGTTTGGTTCTGCAGCCATACCTGGCAGTGCTCAGGGATTACTCCTGACTCTGTGCACAGGACTCACTCCCGGATTATACTCAGGGATCATATGTGGTGCCAGGGATCAAACCCAGGTCAGCTGCATGCCAGGCAAATGCATTACTACTGTACTATCTTGAAAATTTAATAGGGGGAAAGTTTAAAAAGCTATACTGCAAAGTTCATATTATATTCAAGAACTGGGAAGACCCTGAGATAATTCTAATTAGAAGTGCGTTTGGGTGGTCTAAACCAGTACTTTTCACCTTTTTACACCTGCATGTGGGCACCTGTTCATTGTTTCAGTGAAAACCACTGGTCTCATGAGCTGAGGTGATCAAAACTTATCTAGTTACTTTGAGTCAACATGAAATCAAACCAGTTATTTAACCAGAAAGTTTTATTTCAGCCATATGAACCCAATTAGGCCTTAATTTCAATGTTTAAGGCAACACATATATAGTGTAGGTTCTCTGTAGATATTTACTGCTTTATTAATTATATTGACTAAAATTAATTCATTGAATGACTTAAAAATATAATTTGTGTCATGAAGAGGTAACTCAAAGTACTGGAAAGTGTATTTTGCATGTAGGACGTCTGGGTTAGTTCCTACTCTACACTGGAGTGGCATCCAGCTCCACTAGGTGTGGCCATAAAGCCAAAAGATGGGAGAATTTATTCATTTTGGTTATATAGAAATCTTCTAGAGATTCCTGAACTTAGTCAATGTGGATAAGATGATGAGACATTATGTAGAAAATCTATTTTAAAACTTAATTCTATTATCAAATTCTAGTACAGCGGTAGGGCGTTTGCCTTGCACGCGGCCAGCTTGGCCAACCTGTTTGATTCCTTCACCCCTCTCAGAGAGCCTGGCAAGCTACTGAGAGTATCTCACCTGCACGGCAAAGCCTAGCAAGCTACCCATGACATATTCAATATGCCAAACACAGTAACAACAAGTCTCACGATGGAGACATTACTGGGCCTGCTCGAGCAAATCGATGAACAACGGGAGGACAGTGCTACAGTGCTATTATAAGGAACTAAAAACTTGATTGTATCTAAAGCAGTTAGGATAAAATGAACACAGATTTCTAGAGTCTTTCTCTGCAGCAGAACTGAGCCTTGGTAGAGAGAGCGACCAGGAATCTATGTTTTAAAGCCGTAAACAGTGATTTCAATCAGCTTTTGAGAGTCACTGGTTCCATTGTGTCCAGTCTTTTTTTTTTTTTGAAACAACAACATAGTCATTAATGACAGCTCAGTTTGTTAAAATCTTCTGAAATTGAGTCAAAATTTGTCTTGGTGTTGTTGGTTTTCATCTTTCAATATCCTGATGTTCATATAAAACCATCGACAGGTCATTCCAATTAATTGATAACCATAAAGACCCTCTCCTCTCCTCTCATCTCCCCTCTCCTGCTCATCTCTTCTTTCTTCTTCCCTTCCTTTCCCTCCTTCCCCTCCCCTCTCCTTCCCCCTCCTTTCTCCTCCCTTCTCCCTTCCTTGTGCTGATCAGGAGACCATATGCCAATCCAGGAATAAAACCAGGACTGGCAAGGTGGTTTGCATACCAGGCAAGTATATTCAGAGAATACTTCCTGTTTTATCTATTTAGCCTCCTAAAGGCTTTCCCCAAACATTTTTTTGTTTCTCTTTGCCATATTGGGAATGAAAAGAGATCACTTTTTTTTTTGTTAGTGAAACACCATGAGGTACAGTTGTAGATTTACAATTTTTTGTGCTTGGGTTTCGATTATACAATGATCAGATACCCATCCCTCCACCAGTGCCCATTTTCCACCACCATGGATAATATCCCCCCACCCCCATCCCCCCATCTTCCCCTGCCTCTGTGGCAGGGCAATCCCCTGTGTGAAAAGAGATCACTTTTAATGGGAAATTATATTATGAGGCGAGCTAACCTCTGTTAGCTCATTTCAACATCATCTAAAGACAGATTTGGAAGTTTCATGTCAGTTTTCTCACCTAGCCTTACAGACTCTCAAGCTAGAATCTATGATCAAAACTACATTTTTTAAAGAACTAAACTCACATCAAGGACTCTGCTGAGCATTAGTTCAACAATTTGCCACAATCAACCTTCTAAGCAGGTGTCATGATTGTTCACATTCCACATAAAAGAAAACAGGTTTCAAGACAGCGGGTGGGGCGTTCGCCTTACAAGCGGCCAACATGGCTGACCCGAGTTCGATTCCTCCGCCCCTCTCGGAGAGCCCGGCAAGCTACCGAGAGTATCTCGCCCGCACGGCAGAGCCTGGCAAGCTCCCCGTGACGTATTCGATATGCCAGACACAGTAACAACAAGTCTCCAATGGAGACGTTACTGGGCCCGCTCGAGCAAATCGACGATCAACGGGAGGGCTCAAATGGCAGAGACAGCAGATCCAAGGGTCTGTTGGAATTCAAGTCCTGTTCTAAACAAGCACACATATACTAGAGAAACAACCTTCTGCCTATCCCAAAGCTCCTATTTCCACTCTCCTTAGGGTCAGAGTCAGAAGGCTCAGGCTCAGAAGAGTAGGGCTGTGTTTCTCCTAATCATCCCAGAGGAAGTTTTCCTCTGCTAAGAGTTTCTCAGCTGCATGGCTGACTCCTAGGCATCCACCATGTGGTTCAGACTCTCGGTGCCAGTGCTTCCCCCAAATGCGGAAGAAATCTAAGTCGTACAGTTAAATTTCTCACAACATGCCATCCTAGTCCTGTTGTGTGCCGTTCTAACTCATAGAGTGGTGTAGGGATGCAGAGACACCAAAGGGTGTTCAGGAGCCAGACCGGGTTTGTTTAAACCCGTCTTCTCCAAAATTTTATTTATCAGCAACATTTTCGAATTGGGATACTTATGGGGTTGGAGAGGAAGCACAGCAGACATGGTGCTTGCCTTGCATGCAGCCGACCCACCTCTGATCCTCGGCACCCCATATAGTCCCCAGAGCACCAATAGGAATGATCCCTGAGCACAGCGTTAGGAGTAACCCCTGCCAGGTTTGGAGCAAAACCAAAAATGCAGCAGAAGGAAATTGGGAGCATCTCCTACAAAACTAAATTTTCTGGCTCAATTGAAGACTCGGGAGATTTAGCAATGTCAGATTTCTTTTCCTTATGGAAAGCAGCAACTGCAGTTGGCACAGCTGCACCCCTCCCCACACTTCTTGTTTTATTAGCAATTGGCCTTCCCCTTCTCTGTGATCTCCCAACACTGTAGGTATCTGAGTCAGCGCCCAGGTATTTGAAATCCAAACTCTCCAAGCCTCAATATTGGAATTTTATTCCTCTATTAGATGCACTGGGAATTTTACCCAGTGAGTCTGATTTTTAGAATAACAGCATCAGAAACTTTTTAAGCTTCAGTATTAGGATTTTGTTCCTCTGTTAGATGCACTGGAGATTCTTTATTTTTTTTTTTTAATTTTTAGTAGTGAAACACCAAGAGGTACAGTTGTGGACTTACAAATTTTTGTGCTTGGGTTTCAGTTATACAATGATCGAGTACCCATCCCTCCATCAGTGCCCATTCTCCACCACCACTGATCTCAGTATCCCTCCCACCCCCATTACCCCCATCCCACTCTGTCTCTGTGGCAGGGCATTCCCTTTTGTTCTCTCTCTCTCTCTCTCTCTCTCTCTCTCTCTCTCTCTCTCTCTCTCTCTCTCTCTCCTTTTGGGTGCTGTGGTTTGCAAAACAGGCATTGAGTAGCAATCATGTTCAATCTATAGTCTACTTTCAGCATGCATCTCCCATCCTGGGAGGATCCCCCAAACACCCTTTATTTGGTGCTCCCTTCTCTATCTGAGCTGGAGATTCTTACCTGTTCTGGTTTCCAGAGCAATAGCATCAGTGTCACTTGGAGGCTTGTCAGACATGCAGATTCTCGGGCCCAAGCACATGCCTGTGGAATCCTACTGCATGGTAACAAAATTCCCAGATCTTTAGATCTTAGCTCTTTCTACTCTATCTTTATAATATTACCTTATCTCTTCTGACTCTAAGGCACTCCGCCTGTTGACACCTGAGCTCAGCATAAGCCATGAATTTGATTATTATCTTATCCTTTCAACAGAGAGCATTTCCATCAAGTTACTTAAAAATAGTCTGGAGATTTTATAAATGCAAATCTAGAGTGAGGGTTCTTAGGAATTTTGTGGCAAGAACTTTTATATCTTTATTCAGTTCTTTTATATGAGGAAGTGTTGGAGTAGATAGAGAAGGCTAGTGCTGGGAGGCCTGGGCTGTACTTCCTTTGGTCAGTTAGTTCCCTTTCTTTGCCACATTTGTAAGGGCATCTAATTTGGTTTGGTTAGCTACTAGTTAGTGATAGTAACAGTGCCATCTCTATGGCTGTATCATCAAGTCGCTGGTTAAGTTTCCTCACTTATAAAATGGAAAATGGTAACATATAACTCCTGAGGTTGCAACAAAGATTCACTGTATTAACATAAATGGATATCTGGATTAATTCCTGGTATATCCTTAGTGTTTAATACAAGCTAATTCCAAAAATAAATAAATAAATAAATAAATAAAATACAAGCTAATTCCTACTATTATTAAAGTACTTAGACCTATTACAAGCAACTTAATTAGCTATTTAAGGCCACCCTTCGCTTATATTAAAATTCTTTTATTTCTTTGGAGTTGGAGCAATAACACAGAGGGTAGGGCGTTTGCCTTGCACGCGGCCGACCCGGGTTCCATTCCCAGCATCCCATATCAAGCACCACCAGGAGTAATTCCTGAGTGCAGAGCCAGGAGTAACCCCTGTGCATCGCCAGGTGTGATTTCCCCCCTGCCCCCCAAATCTTTCATTTCTTTCTTTTTGGTTGAAGGCTACACCTTCCAGTGTTCTGGGGTTTTTTATGACTCTGTGCTCAGGAGTGACTTCTTGGGTTCTTAGTGGACCATAGATGATACCAGGGGTCAAATGAGTTTCCCACATGCAAGATAAGTGCTTTAATCACTGTAGTAGCTCTCTAACACAGTTCTTTCATTTCTTAGGAAATTTTCCTCTTGTTCATTTATGCTTTCTTAAAATGACTTACCAGATAAGAGGCAGAATAGTATTAAAATATCACCAAGGACAATCCTCATTCTCTGAATTTCTAAGTCAAAAAAGAAGAGAAAAGGAACAACATTATTAATTCTTCCTGTTGAAGTAATATAATTAAATGTCAGTGTTGGCAATTTTTAAAGGGGGAATGGTTAAGTTTTATTCACTGTATCATTGTATCACTGTCCTCCAGTTGTTTATTGATTTGCTCGAGCGGGCCCAGTAACATTGTGAGACTAGTTACTGTGTTTGGCATCTCGAATACATCACGGATAGCTTGCCAGGCTTTGCCATGAGGGCAAAATACTCTCGGTAGCTTGCTGGGCTCTCCGAGAGGGGCAGAGGAATCAAACTCCAGTTGGCCATGTTGTCTGCATGCAAGGCAAATGCCCTACCCGCTGTGCTATGACTCTAGTCCAAGTTTTATTATTTTCAGAAATTATAAATAGAGAAGAGACTGGAGAGATAGTTGGATGCACCCACAAGTGGCAACAGAAAGGAACCCCAAGCACTGAAGTGGGAGTAGCCCAAGTACCATTGGGGTGGCCACAAAACACATGAAGTATAAATAAATCTATTTTAAAGAATAATACTAACCTATCTCTATCATACAATATATTGATTTTTACTCACAAACAACGCTATAGACCAAGACTACTTCTTCAATAAGAGAAATCACCAGAAAACTTCTAATAGTTATAGAACATCTTTAGGTATTTTCTTACTTTCAAATATTGTTCTCTCCCTATATTTTTTCCTGAGTCATTTATGTAAACAAATATGACGTGAGACAAATTCTGTTTAATGAATAATATTTGGTTCAAAATAACAAAAGGGAAAAAAAACAGCATACGAAAGAAAATATGCTTTTTCCAAAATTGATACTTTCATTGAAAACAATTGTAAGGAAAAGCATTACATGATAATGAAAGAGAAGGGGTTGATTCATTGCATAGATATAGAATTTTAGTTATTTGTTAAATAGTTGTGCGGGCAAGATACTCTCGGTAGCTTGCCAGGCTCTCCAAGAGGGGCGGAGTATCTTGCCCGTACAGCAGAGCCTGGCAAGCTCCCTGTGACGTATTCGATATGCCAAACACGGTAACAACAAGTCTCATGATGGAGACGTTACTGGGCCCGCTTGAGCAAATCGATGAACAATGGGAGGACCGTGACCGTTAAATAGTTGTCTTAAGGAAGAAGGAATCGTGGGAATTTTCCAATGTCTAAACTTCTTTAAAGAAGAATAACAGGCAAAACAGCATGCAACAATGTTCATGATAACTAAAACCAACAAAGTTAATTCATCTGTGAGGCTCTAGATAGATTCCCAATGGTTTAAACAGTGAAAATTATACAAGCAAACATATAGGTAAAAGTTCCACATATATACTTTATCCCAAAACCAGTATAATAAGACTGGGTCATTCAGTAGCTGAACTGGTGAACTCTAAATTTGACTAAAATCATTATGTTCGGTATGGTATTGTTCAGATATTTGTTCAAAGTCATGTGGGCATGTACATGTCACTTTAGAACAGAATATTTTTTAAAATTATTTTTTGCTTTTTGGGTCACACCCAGCAATGCTCAGGGGTCATTCCTGGCCCTACACTCAGGAATTACTCCTGGCAGTGCTGGGAGACCATATGGGATGCCAGGGATTGAACCCAGGTCGGCTGCATGCAAGGCAAACGCCCTACCCACTGTACTGTTGCTCCTGCCCCAGAAATTTTTATATTCAGAATATAATTAGATTCTCTGGAGGGGTTCCTTAGTGGTGCTCAGGGGGCCCAGGGGCTACTTGAAGTGATTCTCAACCAACCAGGTGAGTGGTTCAATGCTCGGGCCCAAAGAGGTGGCAATGCCTGGGATCTTTGGTGCTTAGATCACAGGTCATCCTGGTGGTACTAGGAAGAGCCACACCAGCACTGCTCCAGGGACTCCAGGGCCTCAAGCACTAAACCTTTTGATATTTGAGGAGCCACTTGATGCCAGGGATTGAACTGAGGTTGGGCTGCATGTAAGATATATATATGCACTATGCTCCTGGCTCTAGGAATTTAATTTTTGAAATATAATTTTATTTTCCCCAAATATATAATCCCAAATATATATTAAGTGCATAAAATTATATATACTTCCAAAGAAATAGATTCTTTTTAAAAATTTTTATTAGTGAAACACCATGAGGTACAGTTATAGACTTACAAATTTTTGTGCTTGGATTTCAGTTATACAATGATCGAGTACCCATCCCTCCACCAGTTCCCATTTCTGACCACCACGGTTCCCAGTATCCCTCCCCCCCAAACCCCCCCCCCCCGCCTCTGTGGCAGGGCATTCCCTTTTGTTCTCTCTCTCTTATTGGGTGTTGTGGTTTGCAAAAGAGGCAATGGGTGACAATCATGTTTGGTCTATAGTCTGCTTTCAGCATGCTTCTCCCATCCTGGGAGGATCCTCCCAACACCCTTTACTTGGTGCTCTCTTCTCTATGTGAGCTGCCTTTCCCCCTAGCATGTGTAGCTGGTCTCCAAGCCATGGACCAAAATTCCTGGTACTAATCTCGGCCATTCTTGGGTGCTAGTCTCCGATTTTGTTACTTCATGTTCCCCAGATGAATGCAATGTTTCTGTGTCTGTCCCTCTCTTTCTGACTCATTTCACTTAGCATGATACTTTCCATGTAGTACCACTTGTATGTAAATTTCATGACTTCATCTTTTCTAACAGCTGCGTAGTACTCCACTGTGTAGATGTACCAAAGTTTCTTTAACCAGTCATCTGTTCTCGGGCACTTGGGTTTTTTCCAGATTTTGGTTATTGTGAACAGTGCAGCAATGAACATAGAAGTTCAGATGTCATTTCAACTGTACTTTTTTGCCTCTCTGGGATATATTACCAGGAGTGGTATTGCCGGGTCAAATGGGAGCTCAATTTCTAATTTTTTTTTCTTTTTTGGGTCACACCCAGTGATGCACAGAAGTTACCCCTGGTTCATGCACTCAGGAATTGCTCCTGGCAGTGCTCTGGGGACCATATGGGATGCTGGGAATCGAACCTAGGTCGGCTGCGTGCCAGGCAAACACCCTACCTGCTGTGCTATTGCTCCAGCCCCTCAATTTCTAATATTTTGAGAATCGTCCATACTGTTTTCCAAAAGGGCTGACCCAGTCGGCATTCCCACCAGCAGTGAAAGAGGGTCCCTTTCTCGCCACATCCCCACCAGCACTGGTTGCTTTTCTTCTTTTGGATGTGGGCCAGTCTCTGTGGTGTGAAACGATATCTCATTGTCGTTTTGATCTGAATCTCCCTGATGATTAATGATGTAGAGCATTTTCTCATGTGCTTTTTTGCCATTCAGATTTATTCTTTTAGAAAGTTTCTGTTCATTTCGTCGCCCCATTTTCTGATGGGGTTGGATGTTTTCTTGTTGTGGAGTTCAGCCAGTACTTTGTATATACTTGATGATATCAACCCCTTATAGAATGGGTATTGGGCAAATATCCTTTCCCATTCTGTAGACTGTCTTTGTATTTTGGTCATTGTTTTTTTTTTTTTGAGGTGCAGAAGCTTCTTAATTTAAGATAATCCCATTTTCCTATGTCTGTTTTCACTTTCTTGCCCAGTGGCATGTCATCTTTGAAGATACCGTTTGTTAGCTTCAATGTTGTGGAGGGTTTTGCCAACTTTGTCTTCAATGTACCTTATGGAGTTTGGTCTGATGTTGAGGTCTTCAATCCATTTTGATCTTACTTTTGTACCTGGTGTTAGGCAGAGATCTGAGCCCACTTTTTTGCATGTAGACATTCAGTTT